ACCCATCCGTTAGCTTAGCATAATGATCGTTCAGTTTTATTGCTATTGCTTTCTTCATGTCAAATACATATTCCTTCGACTATGACATTATGCGACTCCCGGATACCAGAAGAATATCTTGTGTGCTATCAAACGTCACAACATAAATAGGTGATTATAAAGATGCTCTACAGGTATCTTCGAAGGTGTTTGTTGGGTTGGCATAGATCGAGATTAGGATTTGTCACTCCGAGTATTGGAGAGGTATCTCTGGGCCCTCTTGGTAATGCACATCATAAGAAGCCTTGCAATCAAAGTGACTAATGAGTTAGTTGCGGGATGATGTATTACGGAACGAGTAAAGAGACTTGCCAGTAATGAGATTGAACTAGGTATGTGGATACCAACGATCGAATCTCGGGCAAGTAACATACCGATGACAAAGGGAATAACGTATGTTGTCATTACGGTTCGACCGATAAAGATCTTTGTAGAATATGTAGGAACCAATATGAGCATCCAGGTTCCGCTGTTGGTTATTTACCGGAGAGGTGTCTCGGTCATGTCTACATAGTTTTCGAACCCGTAAGGTCCGCACGCTTAACGTTCAATGACGATTTAGTATTATATGAGTTATGTGATCTGGTGACCGAATGTTGTTCGGAGTCCCGGATGAGATCACGGACATGACGATTCGATGATAGTATTTGGACACCGGAAGTGTTCCAGATAGTATCGGATATTTATCGGAGTACCGGGGGGCACCAGAACCCCTGGGGGAAAGGTATGGGCCACATGGGCCATAGGAGGGGAGCACACCAACCCACAAGGGTGCCCCCCCCCCAAGGAAGGAGGCCAAGTGGGGAAAGGAAAAAAGAAGGGGTTCTCCCCCCCCCCTTTCCTTCTCCCCTTCCTCTTCCCTTTTCCCTCTCCGAAAATATGGAAAGGGGGAGCGAATTGGGATAGGAACCCAAGTAGTATTCCTCCTACTTGGGGGGCCCCAAGGCTGCTCCCCTCCCCCTCCCACCTATATATACATGGGGAGGGGGCGCCTAGAACACAAACCAACAATTGTTAGCCGTGTGCGGTGCCCCCCTTCATAGTTTACGTCTCCGGTCATATCTTCGTAGTGCTTAGGAGAAGCCCTACGCGGATCACTTCACCATCACCGTCACCACGTCGTCATGCTGACGGAACTCATCTTCTTCCTTGACACCTTTGCTGGATCAAGAGGACGAGGGACTTCATCGAGCTAAATGTGTGTAGAACTCGGAGGTGTCGTACGTTCGGTGCTTGATCGGTCAGATCTAGAAGAAGTTCGACTACATCAACCGCGTTGTCAAACGCTTCTGCTTTCGGTCTACGAGGGTACGTGGACACTCTCTCCCCCTCTCATTGCTATGCATCTCCTAGATAGATCTTGCGTGAGTGTAGGATTTTTTTTTTTTTTGAAATTGCATGCTATGTTTTCCAACATACACAACACCGAAAAGACCAAATTAATGCAAGTTCATACATCAAGTTCATACACACTTATTCTCATAAAACAACATACAAACTCTCTGGCTAAAGAATTTAAATGCAACAACAAATGCGATCAGGATTGCAACTAAGGTAACAATTGATCCAACAACATAATGATACCAAGCCTCACTATCAATGGCATATTTTCTAATCTTTCTAATCTTCAAGCGCATTTTCTCCATCTTGATCTTGTGATCATTGACGACATCGGCAACATACAACTCCAGTTTCATCACCTCTTCTTCAATTCTTTTCAATTTTTCTTTTGAATACTCGTTTTGTTTTTCAACTAAATTTAACCTCTCGACAAGAGGGTCAGTTGAAATTTTCGGTTCACATACCTCCTAGATAAAAATATCTATGTCAACTTGATGGGCATAATTTGTCATAAACACGAAATGCAACAAATAATTATAAAAGAGGATATAGCGCATCCGAATCATAAACCGAATAAGGGCCGACGGGGATGGATATCAAAACCATGCCACTATATATAACAAACAACGTACGGGTAAGAAAATTATACAAGTAACTATATATCTGAATCACATGAACATGATCTTTTTTATATAAAAAAGATAATAATAAGAGGCTCACCAAGGTGGTGCCGGCGATGGGATGGTGCGGGCGATCGACGATGGTTAGGACGGGGACGAGAAGGCACTAAGTAAACCACGCCTACATATGCGAACTAGGAATTAATTTGAGCTCAAATTGATATAAATCAAATAAACTACCACACATAGTTACTCCCAAACTAAAACCCACAAATCACTATACTTATAGAGCATTGCAAGAACAGAGAGCTCTTGGATGGATGGGGGGCCTTCAAATTATTTGGATAGACAAAGTTGTATGTTGATAACATAAGTGGTATCACTATACTTCTAGCAATGAGAGATGAAAAGACAAAGTTGATAACCTTTGTGATCACTTGGATGGATGGGGGGCCTTCAAATTCTGACAAATTTTGGGCAAAATGAAGGATGAGCTCGAGCTTTAGGGAAGAACTGAGAGCAGAGGAAAATAGGAAGAACAGAGAGCTCGATCGCGGGCTGGACGAAGGGTTTATATAGGAAAACCTTTAGTCCCGGTTCATGGCACAAACCGGAACTAAATGTGATCTTCTAGTACCGGTTCGTGTCACGAACCGGGACTAAAGGGACTGGTGGGGCCCCATCCTACCACCACCTCTTTAGTCCCAGTTCGGAGCACGAACCGGTACTAGAGGTTCAACAAGAACCGAGACTAATGATGACCGCCTGCCTAGCCGTTGGAATCCGTTTATAATCTGGGACTAATGTATCTCACGTAAAGTAGTTTTTCTACTAGTGCATGATACCACTTATGTTATCTCCACTATGGCCAACCATATAGTGGCCACACATGCATGCACTAAAATTAATCCAAATTAATGTATCAGTTTAATTTGGATAGTTTTGTAAAGTATGCGATACATTCCCACTCATACTTTCCTTGTTTGATGAGATTTCAAATTCAAGCCCTGTAAATCGAAATGGAAGGAATATACTCCCTGTCTCCCTCCGTCCTTTAAAAAGTGTACTTCCAAATTTGTTGGAAAGTCAAAAAAATGTTTAGCCGTGCTTATACAATAATACATCAACAATTATGCCATCAAATTAGTAGTTTAAGTCCTGGTGTCCGCATTTATAATGGATTTATTTTAGAATTTTCGGTGATGCGCGTTCAGTGGGAGGAGACATTCCCGTCGACTACAAGGCGCCCACGGTGACTTTGTAAAATCTCAAGATGATATGCCGGCTCAGTCTATCGAAGGTTCTCATAAGGGTATGTGTGTGTGGGTTCATAGGGGTAAGTGTATGCGTGTTTATATAAGCGTCTGCGTTTGTACTGTGTTCAAAAAAATTAGTAGTATTAGATTCATGGTAAAATATATGTTCATCATATAACTATTTCGTTTCACAAACATTGATATATTTTTGTACAAACTCAATTAAGCTTTAAAATAATTTAGCCCTCCAACAAAGTTGAAAATCCATTCTTTTAAAGACGATGGGAGTAGGTGGCTCGAAACGATGAAGGTCCGACAAGAGTAGTGTCGCTGAATGTGCTAGTTTCACCAACCACCCTCGAATAGAAGTTCCTCAACTAGTGCAACCACTCTGGAACGAACCACATCATTTTACTGAAATCAAGCGTAAAGCACCTAGTACACCTTTTTCAATGCAATGGTGTTTAGATAAAATGCTAAGTGCATTAAATGGCTTAGCAATTAAAGTCTCTAATGTATAGGTGCTTAATTTTTTTTTGCTAAGCTTGCTTCATTTAATTAGCTATAGACTTAAAATTATCTTTCCATTTAGATACACACGCTTAACACCGTTTCTTTCTGGATCACCAGACTAGTCCTTTTTTTCTTAATTAACTTGCCACATCAGACTTTATGTCTATGTGACAGACTTAACACTTGTATATTATGAAGCATTAGGAGAGGCCATACACACACACTCTACAACATTTAATGCAGTCAACAAAATCGCCTCATTACCAACAAAAATAACGCATCCCATGAAAAAAGTAACTTATCTTGATAATGTGAGGTTTGGTTTCCAGTTAAAAGAAGTGATGTTTGAGTGCTTGACCCTAGTAACCAGGTTGTAGCCGTATAACAACTTCCACTAGTACTACCCCCAACCTAGTTGTTACTATCTTCGTACGGGTATATAACTTATTTTTTATAGTTAAATGAAAGGTCAAAATTTAAACCAAACTACAAAGAGGACTAATAAACCAGAACAGAGATAATAGAGTAGTTGGTTACTGTGACAATTGACCTAAAAATCATCTTAGCTGGCGAACGTTTGTTGGGAGGAGTGGCATTTCGACCGATTTCGCCAGGGGGGCAACTTTCTTAGGAAAACATGATAGTTTCTTCAGAAATAGAGGTTTTTTGTTTAAAACTGTCATTGTTTGATTTCGCAAAGCAGCTACAACTAATAGGAAAAAGTGTTCGCTTGTCATTCCCTCCTAGTGGACCTTTGCCAGATGACATTACCATTAACCTAACCAAATAGATAACTGTTTTTGAACGATATATCCATCATATTTTTTGGGAACATGACATATATATCATTTTTATAAGGACCAAGGGAGAGGATGCGGAGAAGTCTTGGCGTTAAAACTCGGCCTTGTGGTAGTACCCCCTCGCTAAGAACACTATTCGCAGTCGTCGCCTATGCGCCCTCTGTAGTCTGTCCTGTATTCTGTGTACCCGTCCCGCTGCTGGTGTGAGCTTGTGGTAGTGCCCTCCCTAAGGCTGCTATTTGCCGTCGTCGCCTATCCGCCTTCTATAGTCTACATAAAAGAAATGACTGTATTTCGTGCACACATCCCGCCGCCAGTGTTCATTTTTCCCACGACCAACAAAACCAGTCAAGCAGGAGAAGGTTGCAGCGAGCGCAGTCAGTGAGTGTACCGCTCGGCCGGCGCTGCACTAGCTAGTTGCCGGCCGATCAATGGAGGTATGCCGTGATGTCGCATCTGCCCTAGCCAAGCTCCACCAAGTGATCAGTGACGACAAGAAGCTGGAGACGAAGATGAGAACTGGCCTCCGAGGAATCTTACTCGATATGGTCCATTTGAATGCCTATATCGAGGAGAACTCCAAGGGGAGAGAGCAAGGGCCTGCACATGAGGCTTGGATCCTGCAGCTTCAAGACTTGGCGTACGACATCGAAGATTTCGTTGATTCCCTCTACCGGAAGCCGAAAGAGAAGTTCCCTCTCCGGGCTGTGCGGATGATCACAGCAACTGATCCCCGACCTGAGTACGGCGATGAAATCACAGCCTTCCAGGAGCGCACGGCGAGGCTGGAGGCGAACAAGCCGAGCTTCCCCGCATGTACCGGCCAGAGTGGCGCAGCTGCTCAAGCTGCGTCTGTGCTCACTGCTGGTCCATCCATGTCCCCAAACGGAGGCACCCACACTCCTTCGACTTCAAGGTTGCTGTCCAGCGACCACGGCGCATCTCCTCTTGTGGGCATCGACCGTTTCAAGCAAGATCTCGTAGATCTGCTGAAGCAAGTCGAAGGTGAGCCCAGAGAGCTGAGGGTGATCTCCATCCTGGGGGTTCGCGGCGTCGGGAAGACTGCCCTCGCAAGGGCAATCTACCAAGCCTGTGGCACTTTCGGCGACCAGGAGCCGTTCGACTGTCATGCTATGGTCATGGTACGGCCTGACGACAATGAGGCTTCCGGGAGCAATGGCGCAGCGGAGCTCTTGAGGGAGATCCTGATACAAGTTGGCAACGTTGCAGGCCAGATCTCCAATACTTCTGCTGCCGAGTTGGAAAATATTCTGCGGAAAGACCTTGAGCACAAGAGATAATACAATTTCTCCCCACGATTTTCTATTTTGTGTCTTGATTTTTTAACGTATACTGTATTTAGTAAACGCATATATTCGCTGACCATTTACAATTTCTCCCCATAGTTTCTTAATCTAACAACTAGACAAATTACCCTAAAAAAACAACTAGACAAATTGACGACGCAGATGGTTACTGCGGAAGCGTGCAGTCAGCTAAAAAAATTTGTGTACTATTTACAACCGAACCTCCACTTCCACGCTATAAATCCCCAAATCCATTTCATACATGAGATTGATCCGAAGGTGTCCGGACGTGTGCGAGCGGTCCGCTACGTCGGATTTGCCCACCTGAAACAGCTTCTCTTTTTTTCCATCCTCTCTCTTGTGGGACCAACCACCTAAACAATCATATGTTTGTGTCTTGACAATTTGGGAGACATAATTGTGTGCAAGAATAAGAATAAGCAGGTGCTCAAAGGGGACATGCCCGGACATCATTGACGCATTTGGTTGCCCACAAAATCGCAATCACGCCCGCTGTATGCAGCATCATTTTAGTGTTTGGTTGTTTGGTTACACGTAAGTATTGTTGGGCCTGCGTGACACACATCCGGGCTTGATTCTCTGAAAACGGTCGAGCCGGCAGTTTCCAGCGATGCTATAGAGCACACGTGGGTGACTCGCTCGGAACATGTTAGCACATAATCACCAATCCTTAATCATGCCGCCGCCTGCCTCCGTGAGCCCATCTCCGGCCTCGAGGCCTCCGCCGCAGCGCCGGGCCGCAAGTCCACCTCTGCTGGTGTTGTCGCCGCGCGGTGGCAGCCCCTTCCTCCCGAGCCTCGGCCCATCGCCGCGTGGCAGCCCCTTCGTCTCGAGCCCCACGCCGTCGCCACGCGCCACCGCCTTCACCCCGAGCCTCAGGCCTCAGCCATCTAGCAGACGCTGCGCCCGACGCCGCCGCACTCCGCCTCGAGAACTATGAGCTCCGCATCACCAACAACGACCTTGTCGGCCACTTCGCCATGCTCGGCGGCAACCAGGCCTCCGCTGTCGCACTGGCTGAGCAGCTCCGCGGCCTCCACCTCGGGCAGATGCAGGTGCAGGTGCAGGGCAAGGCCATGTCGTGCGCCTCCAGCCTCCACCGCTCGCTCTCCGCCGCCGAGGACACCCGCCTGCTCGACCCGCTCTGCCTCGGCTCTCACGTCGCCCACGCGCTCAGCGCGCTCTACCTCGGCTCCCATGTTGCCGCGCGCCTCGGCTGCAGCTACGTGGCCCCGGCGCTCCGAGGCAGCGCTCGTCCGGCAGCTCGACCCCCTCGCCTCTGCCATGACCGCGCTCTACACCAAGCTGGACGCGATCGCCAACCTCGAGGAGTCGGCCCACAAGCTGCGCCAGCCTGTCCTGGCTCCGCACCTCCGCGTCCTTGACCTTCTTGAGTTCGGCTCAAGGGAGACTCGACGGACGGCCCGGCTTGGCCCGCGGCGGTCTCGGTCGACGCGTTCGCCGCGAGTATCTTCCGCATCACAGCCTCCAAGTCTCCAACCTGGCCTCTGTGGCCTGGCACGTGGCCCTGGTCATGCGTGCGTCTTCCCTGGCGCAGCGATTTCCTCCTGCACCGCCCGTGCGCTTGCCTTCGCCCCGGTCCGCCTCTTGTCGTGCCTCGTCTAGTTGTTCGGGCGTCGTCTTCTTCTTCTCCTCGCCGGTGTCCCTTGCTCTTGCCTGCGCCGCGGCGAGCTCGAAGGTCACCAGTGTCAGCTCCTCTATGCTTTAGAGATGGGATGGACGCGCGCAGACGTCGTGCTCTGCTTCCGTCGTATCGCGGCAAGTTCTGAGGTGTGTGGTTTAAGTGCAGTGGTTAACTCCTAATACCCATGCATGTATGCAACCAAACGCCGGGTGAAAATTGCTTTAACGCTGATAAGATCCCATATGCAGGCAATCAAACTACCTTACAACGTCGTTTTCTGCCTCGTTTTTTCTTAGCCAGGCCCTGCCCAGCCTGGCTCTTTTCCTCCTCTCAACCAGACCCTGCTCAGAAAGTAACCAAACACGTCCCACGTTATAGTTGCACATTAAATTGGATTCTTTTCACATTGAGAGAAATATATTAGTGAAGATTGAAACAATGGTTTGAACTGGTCTAATTCATAATTAATGGCTCAACAATTAAGTTAGACCCTTGCATATTCTACACAATTGAGCCAATAATTGCATTTATCTCCTTTCATCTACAATAAAAATATTTTCAACAACCCCTGATACTGGCCATAAGTCGGTCCTTTTGTTGCATCACCAGGATATTATAAGCTATAAACATGAAATATGTTATCTTTTCTAGGTAGCTAAGCACTTTACACACAAACTTATAACCTCAAACAGGGTACTCTAAGATATTGCTATGTTGCTTTTCCTTATTGAATTGTAAGAACTTAGAGTAAATGGCCGCAGCGCATGGCAAATCAAATACTTTCTCTATTAGAAAATACTTCCTTTGTAAAGAAATATAAACGTGTTTAGATCACTAATTTAGTGATTAAAATGATTTGTCAAAGAAATAGTCTTCTCCGACAAGTATTTTGGGACATACGGACTAACTACAAGGATACAGCCAGCTGAATGGATCAGGAAGCAGAGTTTGCCCAAAATGATAACTGGTCGACGATCACATTTTCGTCCTTCCCCGCGAAACCCTGTTTTGCCGTTGGATCTCCTACTATCACGGATCTTAGCGCAATCATGTCGCCACATTGGCATCATGGAACCTTTCGCGTAGGCGCCGATCCAGTGAACAACCTCGGCTATCTCTCCCCAAAATCTCACATTCCATCTCGCCCACCCAGAGATGTGCTCCCAGTCGACCAATGTCTCCCAACGAGGTGTTGCGGCGGCAGTCGCGGATCCCAGTGATTCCGGCGTTTTCTCCATGCGTGCGGTGCGGGCGGGGGAGGGCTAGGCTCGATGCGGTGTTGGTGGCCGGGGGGCGCGGTGGTGGGGGCCGGGGCGCGCGGTGGTGGGGGCCGGGGGCGTGGTGTTGGTGGCGGGGGTTGCGCGTCTTGTTGTCGCTGTGGGGCTGCGTGTCGTGGTCGCCGGGGGATGCGCGGTGGTGGCCTACGGGGGCACGGTGGTGCTGGTCCAGCGCTAGGCGTTGCTGAGGGCATCTCCAACAGTTTGTATGTTAGCTTGTTGGTAAAATATGTCATGTCATTAACCAACACCTAACATACAACAACTCCAATGGATTGTATCTAGTTTGCCCAATAGGAAATAATAAATAATGTGCTCTCTCATTCTACATTGGAGCTTGTGCAAGGGGTGTTGGTTCATGTACTTACAACCTTGCTATCTTCCCTCATTTATTGTATGACACATCATTAAAAATTCTATGTGGCAAAGTCTACCAACAACTATCTTACAACCATTGGAGATGCCCTGTCATCTCATCAGCGTATTTCCCCCATGGGTGTCGCTGTTTCTAGGCCACCGCGGCGGTGAGGAAGAGGCCTTGATGGCGCCCGTCTTTGTCTCCGGCGACGTCCGCAGGTGCCACTGTCGTCATCCCCATTGGCTACTTCCGAGCGGCGTGCAAGTGGCCACACGGGAGGAGGTCAGGCTCAACAACGGCGCGAGAGGAGGCGGGGCTCGACGAGGGCGCGGGGAGGAGGTCTGGCCCAACAACGGGCACGGGGAGGAGGCCGGTCTCAACGTCGTCGTTGAATTTATGTGTTGTGGTCATCGACACACATTTTTAGTATGCTCTCTCTGAAGCTTTTTATTAGAGTTCTTTTGTTGTTCCATTTTTTCTCAGTCGATTTGACATTTGAGTACTGCATGCTTATATCTGAGCTACGGGTAGTGAAATTTCAAATTTTAAGCAAGGGACATCGCATTTTTTCAGTTGATACATATGGCAACTTAAGAACGGTTTTGCTTTAGGTCATGGCAAGAAAAAGACTTCTTTCATAAATCTGGCGATGACCATGTGATATATTCTTACAAACATAAATTGCCATGGCTATATTTCCATGTCTAATTTCATACGATGTTCTTAAGTTGCCATGGCATTTTTCAATGAACATGGCAAATCAACATTCTGAAAATTATTTTTCATAAGACTATATCATGGCAATTGTGTTTCTAATTACGGTGTCATTTTTGTGATCTTATTGATATACTATGATAATTATATTATGACATACCCATGGCAAATGTGTCATATTAATATATTAGGATATACCCATCGCGAATGTGTTGTATTTGTTTTTCCGCAGCATTTTTATTGAAGATAACATGGCAAATTTGTTGAAGGCCTAAATATTGGCAAAGCCATATACAATTTTATTGGCATGTTTTCTGATAGTTTTACTAGATTATTAGTGAGGTTAATTAATTAGCCATCATAATCCTAGCTGATTTGTGTTCCCATATGCATGTGTTCAGGTACTTCATTGTAATTGACGGTTTGCAACAAGAAGAAGATTGGGACTTCCTGAGGAATGTCTTCCCTCAAAATGAGAAAAGTAGCAGGATAGTTGTGAGCACAAGTGTCCAACGTGTCGCTAAGTACTGCAGCTCCAGCACTAGTTTCGTGTACAAAATGGAAGGTCTCGACAATGAGGAGACTAAGAAACTGTTCTGGCAAGAAGTTGGAGTGCCGAATGCTGCCGATTCGTTGAAACAACTTGCACAAGGCATCTGTAACGGATGCCACGGTTTACCCCTCGCAGTGGTCAGTGCAGCCAAGTATTTGAGACCCATATGGACAGAACTGAAACAGAGTGACTGGGACCGCGAGGCTCTCGCGCTAGGTAACCGCGGATTTTTTTATCAAAAGAGACCACCTGTACAATCGAATTAGCAAAAATGACCCCTTTTGAGACGATTTGACAAAAAAGACCCCATCGGCCGTAGCGGCAGGCGCGCCAGGCGACACGTGGCACCTGCCGCCACGGTGCAAGGCGGCAGCCCCTGCCGCCGCGGCGTCAGGCGGCCGGCTGCATGGAACGGGAATCGACTGGCGCGACGCTGTGGACCCCCGCCGGACTGTAGCAGCCCGGCCCGGCCGCCTCAGGGGCTGGCGGCAGGCCTGTTCATCGGCTGGCAGCAGGCTGTAGAAGGTGGTCTCTTTGAAAAAAAATTCCCGTAGGATCCGATTTGTACCAATCCATTCGCCCTGCGCTGCGCATGTACGGCAGTACTTTGCTTGTTTAAAGAGGTGGACGTGGCATGGGCATGCATGCATGACTGAGGATTTTGCTCGTGTTAACTACTGGAGTATGTACTAGTAACTAAGCAAGGAATACAGGCCAGACGATGAATACAGTGCCAGGAAACGACGCCGATGAACAGGCCTGCAGCCAGCCCCTGAGGCGGCCGGGCCAGGCAGCTACAGTCCTGCCGCCAGCCCCTCAGGCGGCAGGGGTCCACAGTGCCAGCCCGTTCCGTCCCGCCAGCCGATTTCCGTTCCATGCAGCCGGCCGCCTGACGCCGCAGCGGCAGGGGCTGCCGCCTCGCACCGTGGCGGCAGGTGCCACGTGTCGCCTGGCGCGCCTGCCGCCACGGCTGAGGGGGTCTTTTTTGTCAAATCATCTCAGAGGGGGTCTTTTCTGGCAATTCGATTACGCGGGTGGTCTCTTTCGACAAAAAATGGGTAACCGCGTAACAGGCCAGGGCGAGCAACCTGCCTTTGCAGAACTGAAAAAAATCCTCGTGGAATGCTTCGACGGCCTAACCTGCCACCGTGTCAAGACTTGCTTGTTGTCTGTTACAATGTTCCCCAAGGGTCACCCCATCAAGAGGAAAAGCTTGTTCCGGCGGTGGATAGCTGAAGGCTTCGTGGAGCATGACGGGCGACTGGATAAGAACGCCGCTTGCCATGAACTCTTCCGGGAGCTGATCGAGCGCCACCTCGTGGAGCCAGTGGAGAGCAGCAGAGAGAATCTGGTGCCGGCAGCCGAAGTGAAGATGTGTCAGGTTCACGGTGTGTTGCTTGACTTTCTTCTCAGCGAGTCCCTCCGTCGGAACTTCACCGACCTCATCCGCAACAATGTGCCTGTTCAAGCCGCACGCGGAGGCATCCGTACCCGTCGGCTCGCCGTCCACACGGACGACGACTGCAGGGTTGGTGCACCCTGCGACGTTGACCTCAAACGTTACTCCTTCATCAGGTCATTGACGATCGTGAACAGCGCCTTTAAGGACTTGCTGGAGAGCGAGTTCCTCCGGGTGCTGGATCTGGAGGGCTCCAAAGGCATCGACGAACAAGCGCTATGCAAAATCTTCCAGCTGATACACCTCAAGTACCTCAGCATCAGGGCCACGGACTGCTGCAGAATTCCCAAGAGGATCAGGAGGCTACATCAGCTTGAGACTCTGGACGCCCGGGACAGCAACGTCAGGGAACTGCCGATTGAGGTCCTCCTCCTGCCGCGGCTTGCCCACCTTTTCGGCGAGTTTCAACTCCCCAGTGAGCTATGCAGCAAGAAGAAGATCCCGATTACAGGCAAGGACGTGGAGAGAGTTTTCAAGAGCAGCAACAGCAAGCTGGAGAGTGTGGCAGGGTTCCTCGTGGACGACCGCCAAGGTTTCCAACATATTATGCTCCACATGCACAATCTCAAGAAGGTTAAGATGCGGTGGGGGAGCACGAGCACGGCCCCAACCCAAGATTTGTCTGGCCTTCTTGCCGACTCCCTGCGGAGGCGATTTGGGCTCGAGTGCCTATCAATTGATTTTGGTGAGCACTCGCTAGATTTTATGAACCCCCTGTCATATTCAGAAACTTGCTTGCTCAAATCCGTCAAGCTGCGCGGAAGCCTCAGCGAGGGTCTACCGGGCTTCATGTGCAAGCTGGAATATCTCTCAGAGCTTCATCTTTTCTCCACTGGCCTTGACAGCGAGGCCCTCTCGGCCCTGGAACAACTAAGTCACTTGGAGCACCTGCAGCTCGAAGAGGTCAGTGACAGATTCGGGAGCTGCACCTTCAGTTTGGCGGCAGGCAAATTTGAGAGACTCAAGCGACTCATCATCGATGCCCCCAAGCTTCCACAGGTGACTGTCGCAAATGGAGCCATGGCTGTCCTCACCACCCTTGAACTACTTTGCCATGATGTAACGGGGTTTGCAGCTACGGGCATCTCACGCCTTGGATCTCTTAGTGAGGTCGTACTACTCAAAAGTCTCAAATCTTGTGACCCTGGCACCTGGTCGAGGTGGGAGGCGGAGGCCAAGAAGCACAAGAAAAGGCCAAGAATTTCGTTCTGTGATAGTAGCAACCGACAACAGCGACAAGCAGCTGCAGTGAGGCAGCAAAAGTCTGGAAGCAAGTGGAGGATGCTACCACGTTAGTTGCTGCAAGTACGTATCCTAGCTCGTTTTAGCTAGGTGATCTTATCGATCTATCTTGTCTCACCCATGTGTGTGTGCCATCCTTGAACGTCACTAGCTTAATCTTCTGTTTTTAGTTACTTTTAGAGCTCCTCTGTTTGTAATAATTTTAATTTTTGGGCTGGCATTCAGTGCTCCCAGAAATTAAATAAACCGCATTGCGTCTTTTTTTATTGAACTTGTGGCAAACTTTATGAAAACTCAAATAATATTTACTTGCTCCCTCTGTAAACTAATATAAAAAACATTTAGATCATTACTTTTAGTATTCTAAATGCTTTTATATTAGTTTACGGAGGGAGTACTTCTTTAACCAGTTAGGCTAAGAGAAAACCAAGAGGTTATCACCCCAAGAAACAACTCGGGAACCAAAAGACTTTCTTGCTAAAGAGTCGGCCACCATGTTTGCCTTTTAGGTAGTGAACAAAAGAAACTGATCTAATCCTCTGTGCTATATGGAAGCAAAAAGCAAGGGTAGTTGTATATGGACTGTGTGTTTCAGCTATCCCATTGCAAGCATTAATAAGCTCCAGGCAATCAGATTCAAAACAACTCGTGAGCATCCCAGTTACTCCCTCCGTTCCAAATTACACGTCGTGGTTTGCAAGTATCATTCCGTTTCTTAAAAGCTGACCCGTCTGATGATGAAGCGATCAAATAAGAAAGAGCCCCCTGACATTGTTGGAATTTTGCTGGTAGGCCTTTGGCCCAAAGCCCAACTAAAATTCTCAAATTCTCTTGGCCCATTCATGCATACATGTGAGTGGAGTGAGTGAGGCTAAAGTTTAATCCCACCCTGGAAGTTGAGAGAGAGTTGCACCTCTTTATAAGATGAGCTCTTCTACCACTTGTACGAGCATGAGAAGAGGAGACCAACACGCGCGCTCCTCCTCCTCGCTAGCCACGCCTCGTCACGACGCGACGCGCCGCGCCGCGGGTTGCGGGATTGAGCCGAGCCGAGGATAGAGCTATGCACGTTGTCTATATTTTTGCTGCTCAGGAAAATTAATGAGTCATTAATTAATAATTAACGGACGCATTAATTACTGAACTGTTTCCGATTCTTTTGGATCGTGACGACTCGGACGTGGGGTTTACTCCCACGACCTACCCGGCCCGCACTATATATTCAGGCAGACGTCTACCCTAGCCGTCGCCGCTTCATATGGTTTCTCACCACTGTTCCAGATCATTGCGCCGCCAAGCAAGTCTTCTCCATCCCTCCTTTCAGCATGCATCGGGAGAAGGGGCAGCAGGCCTCCGGAACCCCGCCTCTCGTGATCCTGTACGAGAGAGGGGCAATCAGGTTTTTGGGGAGCACACTCGCACGATTGCTGGCAGCGACGACTTCGCGAACAACGACTTCTTCCCCGACCTCGGCAACCTCATCCTCGACGACATGGGCGACAACGTCAACGCCGGTGGTGCTGCTCCCGCTGCACCGTATGTGATTCTATCCTTCCTATTCGAGATCGTGGTAGAATTCATGTTTCTAGTATGTGCCCTAGATGTGATCTGTTCATCTGCTATGCTAGTTCGCATGATTAGTTTAATCTCTGCTACTGTAGTCATGATTTATCTTCTAATTATTCGGATTAAATCTTGTAGTAACTTGCTCATATTTCCAACAATCCAAAAACCTGATTATAGGCAATTTACTCCGAGTGGTTTTGCTGCGCATCTGAAGCCCCCTGCCTTTAAGGGGGCGCAATACAAGAGGTGGTGCATGAGAGCAGTCTACTGGTTTCAGACCATGGGCTGCTATGATGCCACCAAGGGCAAGCCTGAGGGCGATCTTAATCCAGCACAGCAGGAAGCTTTCGAGAAGATCGATACCCTCTTTAAAGGCGCTCTTCTGAGTGTTCTTGATGACTCCATTGTGGATTCGTATATGTCGTTTGACAACGGCAAGAACATGTGGGCTGTGCTCGAGGCCAAGTTTGGTGCCTCGGACGCCGGCAACGAGTTGTACGTCATGGAGCAATTCTATGACTACAAGATGACTGAGCGCCCTGTTGTACAGCAGGCTCATGAGATACAGTCGCTCGCAAAAATATTTGAGTACTTCCAGTGTGTGTTGCCGGACAAATTTGTTGCCGGAGGCATCATTGCCAAGCTTCCACCTTCGTGGAACAATTTTGATACTTCCTTGAAACACAAGAGACAAGAGTTTTTCGTTGCGGATCTCATTGGTACACTTGATGTTGAAGAGAAGGCGAGAGCAAAGGACACACGTGCTCGAGTTACTAAGGGAGGTTCTAGTGCCCACATGGTACAGAAGAAGAGCTCCCAGCCCAACAAGTTCAAAAACAATAAGAACAAAACTCAGGGCAAAGGCAAGTTTGATACAAAGAACAAGCCATCACATTCTACCAACTTCAAGAAGAATTCTCATAAGAAGGGGAAGGGACTTTGCCATGTCTGTGGTGATCCTAATCACTGGGCTCCGAAGTGTCCTAACCGCTTTGAGGAGCGCGAACATGAGAAGAGCGGCAAGTCCACTAATGTTGTCATCGGTGATATTGATATGAAGGAATCAGGGTACGGTATTTTTCCTACCATCCTTTCAGTATTTCAATCCCCTGATTGGTTAATTGACACCGGTGCCAATGTACATGTTTGTCCATGTTTTCTTCTTACCAGGCAACAGGGACTTCACCCGTGCTGATGGGGAACGGGTCACATGCCACCATTTGAGGTGTTGGTACGGTCGATCTGAAGTTTACTTCGGGGAAGACTGTGCGTCTGAAGAACGTTCATCATGTGCCGTCCATAAATAAAAATCTCGTTAGCAGTTCCCGTTTATGTCGAGATGGTTTTAAGTTGGTTTTCGAATCCAATAAAGTTGTAATTTCTAAGTATGGACAATTTGTTGAAAAAGGCTATGAGAGCGGAGGCTTGTTCTGCCTGTCTTTATCAAATATTTGCACTAAAATTATTAATAATGTTTGCCACAACAATGAGTCTAATATTTGGCATTCACGACTTTGTCACATTAACTTTGGTTGCATGACGCGGCTAGCCAATATGAATTTAATTCCGAAAATCTCTACTGTCAAAGGCTCTAAGTGCCAAGTATGTGTGCAATCTAAGCAACCTCGCAAGTCCCATAAGACTGCAGAGGCAAGAGACTTGGCGACACTAGAGCTTATACATTCTGATCTTTGTGAGATGAATGGTGTGTTGACAAAAGGTGGAAAGACATGACGTTGATTGATGACTCCACTAGATATTGTTATGTGTATCTCCTGAAATCAATAGATGAGGCTTTAACTTTCTTCAAAAACTATAAAGCTGAGGTAGAGAACCAACTTGATCGAAAAATTAAACGGCTTAGGTCCGATCGTGGTGGAGAGTATTTTTCAAATGAATTTGATCTGTTTTGTGCGGAACATGGTATAATCCATGAGAGGACGCCTCCCTATTGGAAATATGCCCTAGAGGCAATAATAAATTAGTTATTATTATATTTCATTGTTCATGATAATCATTTATTATCCATGCTATAATTGTATTGATAGGAAACTCAGATACATGTGTGGATACATAGACAACACCATGTCCCTAGTAAGCCTTTAGTTGACTAGCTCGTTGATCAATAGATGGTTACAGTTTCCTGACCATGGACATTGGATGTCGTTGATAACGGGATCACATCATTAGGAGAATGATGTGATGGACAAGACCCAATCCTAAGCCTAGCACATAGATCGTGTAGTTCGTATGCTAAAGCTTTTCTAATGTCAAGTATCATTTCCTTAGACCATGAGATTGTGCAACTCCCAGATACCGTAGGAGTGCTTTGGGTGTGCCAAACGTCACAACGTAACTGGGTGGCTATAAAGGTACACTACAGGTATCTCCGAAAGTGTCTGTTGGGTTGGCACGAATCGAGACTGGGATTTGTCACTCCGTGTAAACGGAGAGGTATCTCTGGGCCCACTCGGTAGGACATCATCATAATGTGCGCAATGTGACCAAGGAGTTGATCACGGGATGATGTGTTACGGACTAAGTAGAGAGACTTGCCGGTAACGAGATTGAACAAGGTATCGGGATACCAACGATCGAATCTCGGGCAAGTACAATACCGTTGGACAAAGGGAATTGAATACGGGATTGATTAAATCCTTGACATCGTGGTTCATCCGATGAGATCATCGTGGAGCATGTGGGAGCCAACATAGGTATCCAGATCCCGCTGTTGGTTATTGACCGGAGAGTCGTCTCAGTCATGTCTGCATGTCTCCCGAACCCGTAGGGTCTACACACTTAAGGTTCGGTGACACTATGGTTGTTAGGAAGACTTGTATGTGATTACTGAATGTTGTTTGGAGTCCCGGATGAGATCCCGGACGTCACGAGGAGTTCCGGAATGGTCCGGAGGTGAAGATTTATATGTAGGAAGTTGTCATACGGTCACCGGAAAGGTTCGGGGGCATATCGGTATTGTACCGGGGCCACCGGAGGGGTTCCGGGGGTCCACCGGGAGGGGCCACCTCTCTCGGAGGGCCTAATGGGCTGTAGAGGAAAGGGAACTAGCCCTACATGGGCTGGCCGCATCCCCCCCTTGGGCCCATGCGCCTAGGGTTGGGGGGAAACCCTAAAGGGGGCGCCCCCCTTGCTTGGGGGGCAAGCCCCCTCCCCTTGGCCGCCCCCCCTCTAGATGAGATCTAGAGGGGGCCGGCCCCCTTCCTCCTTCCCCTATAAATAGAGGGGTAAGGGGAGGGCTGCATAATACATCCCTGGCGCAGCCCCTCCCCTCCCCAACACTTCTGCTCCTCCGCAAGAGCTTGGCGAAGCCCTGCCGGAGTACTGCAGCTCCACCACCACCACGTTGTCGTGCTGCTGTTGGAACCCTCTTCCTCAACCTCTCCCTCCTCCTTGCTGCATCAAGGCGCGGGAGACATCTCCGTTCCGTACGTGTGTTGAACGCGAAGGTGCCGTCCGTTCGGCACTAG